GACGACTTGCGTCCTTAATTCTGTCGTTTGAATTTCGAATCGTCGGTTTAGTTTTTTTGCTATGTTAATGTTTTTGCCGCTAGTAAGGATTTTTCGCGATTGCTTAAGCTTCTGGAGTAGATACCCTGGTAACGATAATGAAGGAGCTTGAAGTGTGACTATAACTTACGTAAAGGTATGTCAGCTACTATCTTCATAACATCCGCTTCAGTTTCCGACAGGGAAATCTGAAAAGAGAAGGATTCTTGAGTTGCGCATTGTTAGTTAGAATGAGTAACTAGAGGTATAAAATTAGACCTCGTGCTTTATTTCCTATATAAACATTTCTTTATAACTCAGGGTTAACTCCTGCTTATTAGATTGTTTGGCAAATAAACCGAAAAATAAATGCACAGTTCATAAGTTTCTTACTATCTCCTAACGTCTGCCCTGATGGTCCATAGAAGGTTGCAAAATTATAATTTTGTAAAATGCCTTATGCTATTCAGTGAGGTTTGATTTTTATTCATTTCTAGAAACATGATCTTCTGGTGCTACTAAAGCGTGTTGACGAAAACTGGTATTACGCCTGCACGTTGGACCAGACGCGCATTGGTTTTATCCCGGCAAACTTTCTTGATGTGCGAATCGATCTCAGTGAGCAGAAGGAGGTCGCACCATCAGTCACTGCTCCCCGTGTCATCCAGCCTTCGATGGAAGAAAGCCCCTACAAAAAAATTACTGATGTGAGTGGAGCAATAAATAAAAGCAGGAAGTATAGCCATCTGAGCACATTACCCTCGCCGGATTTGAGTTTATACTCTGATGGTGTTTACTTTCCATTAATTGGCGTCGTGTGCCAAACGCTTACTAAAAGAACTTGATAGCTTGGCAAGGTGAATTAATTTGGCGAAGAAAGTGTTGACTTCCGTCAAGACCAAGGAACTGCGCAGGCGTATTTAGGTGCACCTCCGTTATTCAAGAATACGTATCTTGTATTTTACGCGGTTTGTTTACCAAAAAGCAGTATTTCATTAAACATTAATGGTTTCCTTAATCTCGTTGATGCCTTACTGAGACTAAGGGATCCTAAGTTCATTTATTAATCATTTTTCACTTCTTTCCCCCGGAAAGAATGCCACCAAAATGAATAAAATAGAGTAAACATGTACTCTAAGTGACTTCGAAATTTCTTCAATTTACTGCCTGTACCTCATTTCAATTTAAAATTAATAGGGAAAGTCAATTTTTCAGCTTGTCTAATCGCGATTTGCGCCAGAGTTCATCGGCGATCCTAATTACAAATCTGTTTTCTGTTTCGTTTTAAAAGTCCTGCATGTATGACGTCCCAAAACCCAGAGCTAAGACACCACCAAGCGCGCGGAAAGAAGAAGCGTCAGCAAATGCACAGGTAAAATAAACCCTTCGCATTTTTGTTTAAATCTATTAATTCCTTAAATGTACAAAAAACGATCCTAACGGTGCTTACTAAAGTCGAGTATATGCCTGAATAACACAGATTTGGAGCTTCGCTTTATGATATATCCTTGTATTTCAGGGCAAAACTCGAGAATAACCCTGATTAACCAGTTTACTTTGTCGAATATCTTCCACAAAAACGTCCAGCGTTTATTCGTAAAAGTTTACATCTGGAAAGGGGGGCCATGTTATCATCCATATCAAGGAATTGTTCCCATAGACAGCTTCCAACGATTCTTATTTGCCAGAAGAACTGCAATGTCCGCGGACTCTAACTCTGGATTTAGATGAGTTTTTAAACACTTTCTTCTAGATTCCACAGTGCAAGAACCGTGCTACTCACAACACATTAAATTAAATTGAGGGAAGAGCTTGCCGGATCATAATCAGATCGTCCCGCCGCTTTGCGGAAAATTGCAAAGCTGGGCTGATTTCTTTTGAAAGAGAATTATTTAAAATATGGCAGCAATAAGAACAATCATTACGAGATGTTATTTTCTTTTTAAATAGACAGTGAAAGCGTCTGCGTAGATCCGGAGGTGGCTTCGAGCGTGAGCGTCTAGTAGAAGAACATTCTGGCTGTGCATACTCAAATCCAGATGTTATGTAGTTGTTCATAATTATAAAGCATATGATTTTCACGCTTTCCTTGTTATCGCTGGCATATGCCCTGCAAATCCTTCGCCTTCAAAAAGGTTGAAACAGTATTTCACTGAAGAAATTGAATATCGTCAAATTTCCGAAGCAAGAAGAATTTAAGGCCATTGTTATGGTTCAGGACCTCCCATTGAGCTGTCGACACGCGACGATGCATGTGTACGCGTGACAAAAGTCTTAGCATACCAGAAGTACTAAAAAAGAAAATTTTTTTATTTATTCACGATAATATCTTTAAAACATTAATCGGCCTTAAAATAGATGCCGTTGGGTGACATACACAGTAATGTTGGTCCGCTAGGGTGCTAAGAGCCATCAAATCAAAGTAAGTGCCACCTTTGATGATGAAACAAGAAACTATCATAGGTGCGTTGTCTCTTAAAATTTTTTATCGCAAAACGACCGAAAGCGTTAAAAGGGGGCTTGATAAAACAATTATTTTACCCCCTACAGTGGTTTTGCACGAACGCTGCTTGACCAGCTAGTATGCATACCTAACGGGAGAGGTAAACAGTACCAGCCCACTTGTCGACAAAAAATAATTCTTGTTTTTGGATGCCCCCATCATAGAGTGGTCAAGCATTAGGCATTGGCAAGCACTTTTTACATTGGTCAGTAAGCTTGATTATATTTGCATGATCGGGGAAGGGTATAACGGACAAATTAGGACTGCCTTGCAACCTGGAAGGTGTGATTTGAAGTTTGGAATGTCTACGCTTCCCTGACTCTGACTTCCACTTGCATAACCCTCTGAGAAGCGTAGGCAGCCCACACTCTGCATTTTAAGGTATGATGGGCACAACGGGTAAAATGAGCAATAAGATGAAGCTGTGAGGCTGCTTCAATGGAAAAAATAATGTCACCTCAATTAATAAATAGTCGCTTGTTGGCTTTGGAATATATTTTTATAAGATCTGGTTAGCGCAACTGATTCAAATTCAAATGCAACTCCTTAGAGCACTGCTGCGTTTCATTCGGTAAAATGAAGTAAGAAAAATATTAACTCGTGAATGATATTGTAGTCTGTTAGGCAGTGAGCACTTACTAGGCACACTGCTGAACTTAGCATTCAACGTCAGGTTAGGAAATATCGACTCTCGGATACCTTCAGTTTCTTACTCAGACAAAAAGCAGCGGCTTATTTTCTGTCTAAGTTAAACTTTATTCGACAAGCGAAATTTTGGAAGACCTGGAGGCATATTCCGCAGTCCGTATTCACCATTCTTCTTTATTCACTTCCCAGCAAAGAAATACTGGAAATAAGATAACGGGCTGCTTCCTTCTGTTGTTTGTCAACTTAGTTTTTGTTTCAAGTGTTTTCTGAGGTCATAACGGCGGCTGTTACTCTGTTATTGCAATTTTAATCATGAAATGTTTGCCCCTTTTATATAAAGTGTACATTGTGTTTTATCGTTGGAGGGAGCTCGAACCCTAATTGTAACCGAACAATAAGATCAGTGTTATCACCCATGCGGCTGCCTATAATTTTGCTTAATTTTGCTATAATGAAACTTTATTATCACACATTTTAGATCTCACCCATCCCGGATGGTGCCCTCCTATTGGTAAACCAGGAGTTTATCGGCGAGAATTCGGGAGACTTGAGTGCCTCGGTAAGCTATTGAGACAAAAATTATTATGAACCATTTTAAGAAGTCCAGATTAGTCAGATGTTGTCGGTAATTTTTCTGCTGAGACGGTTTCGTCGTTTCCACACCATAAGCACTTAAAAATAGTTTCGGAGGTACATTCTATTAAATTAAGTGAGTAGTGACCACTGATGGAACGTCATAAATTCACTGAAAGTGGAAACTTGTGTGATGTAACCTTGGAAATAAGTAAAAAATGAAGATTCCTCGCTTCTAACGTAGTGTCACGATGTTCTTTTTTCTATAGATTTCTAAAAAATCCATCCTTATGGCCCCTTAAGAAAATAATTTCCCATTGTAGGTCCAAGATGTCCTTCTGTGGCTTGAGCCTGGAGCAAAACGAGGTGACGCCCCACCCGAAGAATGGATTAAATGCTCTAAGCTCAACGGAATTAGCGGTGACTTCCCGGGCAACGTTGTGCAACCTCTGTCCGATGAAGGCACAATTCTGATGTATCTGAGGGGTATACCGCAGGCCGAGGCCACTAGAGACTACGAAGGAGTTCCCGGACAATGCATTCCTCTAAAGGTGAGGGGAGGGGTCCCTTTTCAAACAGGTTTAATGTAGCTAATTTGAAGACTGTCTTCTCTTCCTTCCGTTTGCGCTAGCTCTTAAAAGACGAACGGCTCTTACGCTTCTTAGCTGTACTCTGTCTATCTCCGCACATTTGTGCTAGACTTGTACTGTCTCGGCTTCTCTCATTCGGGATCTACTTGGCCTTTCTTGCTTTAATTGTCTAAAAAGTAGTAGTCTTCTTTGGAACTAACCGCTGATACTTGTTTTCATTTTAGAAAGGTGAAGTACTCTATTTGTCGAAAGAAGATGCCTCTTTCTGCTATGGTCGGTCGGCGTCGGGAAAGGAGGGCAAGGTTCCCAAGGATGTCTGCAGAGTTACTGTCCCATTGCAGTGATTAGTGACATGCAAATATCATTTTTATGGACCATCTTACTGTGAACGTGCATAATTAAGATGGTTTTTTTCTCTGTTGCATGACAATTCACGAGCATAACATTTTTAACAAATAAAAAAGAAGACTGGATTTTTTCTATAAAACAGGAATATGAAAGTGCATTGCTATCTAGTTTTTTACGGTCTTTCCAAAAAGCTACTTTGAACTAACACTTGGTGAGCTGTTAAACAGAGCACTTGTTATGCACATAGAGTGCGCATGGGTACAGCTCACTTAACTATCCGCTCAAACCTGTTGCGACTTTGTGTGTGTGCTGAATAGTTCCTTTTTTCAAAGTTTTTAATATACTCCCTCTTCGAAATATTAATCACAATTAGTTATAGCAATAGTATAATTTTAGTCACGGAGGTTTTTTCACCTTCAGGCCGTTGGTAGATTCAGGAAGAACATTTTAGCATCCTTCTTTTACTTGGATAAAAATCTCTACCAGGTTTCCATAAGTAGGAAATTCGTTTACTCAAATCCCCATTTTGCATAACGTTGACGAAGCTAATGGAAAAGATAAAGTGGTGCCCATCGGAAACGCAGTTCAGTTTATGTGTCTACTGGTCTGTTTCGTGTTTAATTGATATTTGTTATCGTTTTCCCCTGAATTAGCGAAATAAAACAAAAAACCAACGACATTGCGACGACAGTTCACCAGGTGTAATGAGGCACTGCTCTTACTCCTGTGAATACTTGCATTCTACTGCATTTATCTTCTAATGATGGTTCTAAGAGGAGAGTCTAACAGGAAGTAAAGTAATTAAGCATAATATGGGGATTAAAATATTTGTCTCGAAAGCTCGGGTTTTGGTGGAATGCTGATTCAGAAGGCCTCTTTTTTGACAGCGTAGCCACAAACTAATGGAGAGCCGGTTTTTAAAGGACAGGTGTCGTCGTTCATCTAATTATGCTAGCATTCTCAGCCACAATTGCTAATATTTCAGTTGGACGCAAGTTAAAGGTCTTCTTCGAAAAAAACGGCAAAGACGGGTTATGTAAACCCCATTTGGCCACAAATAACCTCATGGTCGTATAAAATGGGACTATCGTAATGGGAGTTTTAAAGGTAGAGCCTTAATGCAGACAGGCAGTTAAATGTATGCAAAAAACATAAAAAAGTAAATCTTCGTCGCATTTATTCTTCTAGGCCTATGTATAGCAAGGAAATTGAGAGGGATATGAATAAGGTAAGCAAAAGGCAAATCACACTGGATGGAAGGAATTTTAATTGCAAAAACCATCATAAAACAATATTTTGCATGTCATTATACAAAAGTAGTCGTGAGCACACAGAGGGTCACTCCTCATAGCTATAAAATAATAAATTAAACCAGGCCATGCAACTGATTTTAAACCCGCAGGCTTAAATAACCTAAACTTACTGAAGAAACATAAGAAGAATTTTATCAATAATCCCTGAGTTAGGAGGCAGGACTTTATAACCATCTTATATCCTATATCTACTGAAGTCTAACGAGATACCGCTTGCAGTAAAATGACAAAGGAGGTCAGCTACGATGCGGATAAAACTATTCGACAGACAGCTCTTGACCTTATGACACGAAAATTCATATCGCTTTCAAATTATTGAGCCCTCTCTAATTATGAGCTTTTTTACAATTTTCAGGTGTTCATTCAGTGAACACC